CTGGGTTGGGGTCCCAATCCCTTCACTGGAAGTCTTGTCTGGTTGCAGGAGATGGCTGGTTCAGGCTCCTTAACCCCTATTGGCAGGAATCTTAGCTAATGTCAACCTCATAGATTCTTGGGAGTTTCCATTGCACTAGGTTTTTAGTTGATCCCAAAGACAAACTTCTTAGGATAAAAGGTTTCCAAACACAGGCAGTGTGAGTAGAGTCTGTAGGTGTTAATTCGTGGAGACTCTCCCCTTTCAGGGCAGAAGCGCCAGACTGTGGTAACTTTGCTTTTCTGCCTGCTTTTCTGGGCACTGCACTATTCCTAAGACTTTCAACTCTGAGTTTCACAGAGCACTTAAGGACACTTCATGGTCCACACACTGCTGCTGTTCTCAGTACAGGGGGACAGGATTCCTACTTTGTCAACATGGCCTTCTGGTCTTAGTGACTCTAATTCAGTGGTTCTCAACCTGTGGACCTTAAACCTTTAGGGGGTCGCCTAAGATCATCAGAAAACACAGATGTTTACATTATGATTCATAACAGTGGCAAAATTACAGTTATGAAGTAGCAACGAAAACAACTTTTAAGGTTGGGAACACAACATGAGAATCTGTATCAAAGGGTCACAGCATTGTGAAGATTGAGAACCACTGCTCTAATATCTTTTGAAAAGCAAAGTGTTCCTTACAGGAAATGATTGAGCCGCTTCCACTCCAGGCAGCCAGGTGGCTGTAGAGTCCTCATTGTACTGCTGATGGTGGTCTCACATCATGAATGGCCAGGGCATTTGCTTCCACTCACATTGGCAGCTTGCATGATGAATTCTGATGCACTGGTCATGCTGTGGTCCTGATTAGGGTTACTGACTATTTGCTGATTATTAAGGTGGTGCTGTAGTTATGGCTTCATCTCTTCAAAGGGATCCCTGCACAGTTGCAAGCATCCTTCTGTTTCTGTAGGAACACATGAGCTTCCTAATTGATTGTGTAATGCTTACAGCTAGATGGTAGCTACCATTTAGTGTCAGCTGTGTACCAGTGTCTGGGAAGAGCTTTGTATACACCAAATGCCAACTCTGTTTCTTACAAGAAATATTATCCCCATCTTAACAGATCAAAGACATGAGGCTGAGACTGGTTAGTGATTTGTCTGGCACTTGGTAAATAGCATGAGAGCAGTATTCTGGTCGAAAAAATGTTACACCTTTTGCTCTGTGTCATACACTACAGTCCCAAAGCTAAAGCCAGCTGACTCTTAGTTCTCAGAATTAGAAACTGGAAATTACACGACCTCAAGGTTAATTTCAGGGTTGTCTGAGAAATTAACCTTGAAGTTTCATGTTATTTCGGAGTTTATATCCTTTTGTTTTACCAATGTCCGCCTTGGAATCCACGGAAGGTTGTGGTGGAGGATGCCTTGCCATGTGTTTAGTTGGTATGAGCAGGGTTATGTCTTTGAAATTTTTGTAATGTATGTCATCCCGTATTAGCTTTGACTTCACTAGAAGTTATTAGCTTTGACTTCACTAGAAGTTAATATTTAGAAGCCTGGGCCCCTGAGTCAAATCACCTCAATTCTCCCTCACTGCACCACTCTGGCTCCCTGTCCTCACTATTCCATTACTCATAAAATAAGTTTGTCAGTGTACAAAAGCTTGAGGAGATGTAATGAAATAATCCATGCAAAGATCGCTTGTGGCGATAAGGGAAGCACTAATTCACTGTTGATTGGTGGCAACACTACCTGATTAGGTTGCTTATACCACTGAAATACTATGCTGTGCTAAAATACACAGTACTTAGGAGAGAGTTGGGCCTAGTGGCTACAAGAATAATGAAAACTCTTTTGAGCCTTTGCTTATTGGATGTTTTCCTTTGAAAATACTTCCTAGAATTTGTAAATATAAATTTATTGTAGAGGAACTGAAGAGATGGCAGTCCCAACCAAGGGCCCAGTCCTGGCCCCAGCATGCATGTAGAAGGCTGGGCAAGGGTACTGTGCATGTTTGTAATCCCAGCCTAGGCTTCTCGGTGTAGCCTACAGACCTTGTCTCTGGAGACAGGATTGGCATTTTGAGGAATTATACTAAGGATGATCTTTGGCCTCCATAGTTACACACACTACACATGGAGGCAGCACACACACACACACACACACACACACACACACACACACACACACACACACACCAAAACATAGATAAGATAATAAGGTGGAAGTTTTTGTCAACTTGACATAAACTTGTCTTCTGCAAAGAACAAACCCTAATTGAGGAATTGTCTCCATCATACCTCCATCATATTGGCTTGTGGTCATGTCTGTGGGGCATTTTTACTAATTGCTGATTGATGTAAGAGGGCTCAGCTCACTTTGGGACATGCCACCCCATGGACAGGTGGTCCTAGTGTGTATTATAAAGCAAACTGAGCAATCCATGGGGAGCAAGCCAGTCAGCAGTGTTATTCCGTGGTCTTTATCTCAGTTACTACCTCCAGGTTCCTGCTTGAGTTCATGCCCTGATTTCCTTCAAGTATGGACTGCCAAATGGAAGTGTAAACCGAATAGAGCCTTTCCTTAACAAGTTGTCTTAGTCAGTGATTTCATAGTGAAAGAGAAGCAAATAAGAGCAGAGAGACAGGTGAGCAATTTCAGTGGCATTAGCATTCATAAAGCAGCTGCCTTTATTAGTGCCCTACACTTGGATGGAAAGTGAGTCTGTACAGGAATTTGTAGCCACAGCCTAAAATATTCCCAGCAATTGCCTTGTATCTTTGAAATAAAATTAAGTGACAAGAAGTCCTGTTCAGCAGACCTTTGGAGTCATGTTTTTCTCTATGTGAGCTGTCCTGTGCTGCCCAGCTGTTATGCAGAGTCTCATTGTCTGTTTATTGACACGGAGGAAAGCAAAGGACAGTCATGTGGGCAGATTTCCTCTTGCTGCCCAGGGGGTATTGAAACCTGTGAACTCTAGTCTGAAGAGCAGACTTAGGAAGCTCAAGAGCTTCAGGGAAGGTTGTGTTCAAGAGTCTTGCCCTGAGCTCCTTATGCACCAGCCCCCTTTGATCAGGGAGTCTTGGGGGGGGGGGGGGGGGGGGAGGATTTGAGAGGGAGCTTTATTTTTTTTTGAAGAACGATGTGTTTCTATAACCGTTTACGTTGCTTATGTAACATGCTTAAAGCCTTCAATGTAGTGTACGTTTCCCAGCCATTGTAAAAGAAAATGAGAGCAGTCAGCTTGTGAAGACAATTATAGCACAAACAATGATCTTTAAAGAAATTATGTGAAAAGAAAGATCTAATTTTGTAATTGCAGATGTAAGGACAAATTTGATGTTTCCTAGTTGGCACAGCTTTCAGTCCAGTAAACAAGAAATGGATGTTTAAAAGTTAAATTCATTAAATGTTCTCAGATGTTCCATTGTGTTGAGTTCTGCTTTTTACAACTCCAAGAGAAGCCTAGAAGGAATTTCAGAAGTTATGTCTAAGAGCCTTCTCCCCACCTTTTGTGATACTCTGAATCAAATCCAGGCCTCCCTGCATGCTAGAGTGTTCTCCACTTCCAATTGCAGAGCTGTGTGGGATGGGTACAGTGAGATGAAAGTCTCGGTGCTGATGAGCTGGCCTTATCTTCAGGAAGCACTCGTCCAGATAGAGACTGATGTGAGGTTTGTCACTCTAAACTTTCAAAGCTGCTGATGCTAAGGCCATCACAGTCAAGAATTTTCATTTATAATAATGAACACATATGAATGCAAGCCTGGAGAATATGCTTTTGTTTTTTCAAAGAAATGTGATTTTGAAGGCAATCCTGAGTATTGAGTTGGGTTAATTCTAGCTAAGCAGTGGTGCTCAGGTTCTAATAGTTCTAATAGGATGGAAGTTTGTATGAGAAGTACTGGCTTCTCTGTTAACATGCTGAAGGTTAAAGAAGAAAATAGCTTATTTTAAAATTCAGTTACCAATTATAATACTTGTTACCAGTTGTTAAGCTTTATCAATTATGCTTTCATTTTCCTAGGAGCACACATACACACACACACACACACACACACACACACACACACACACACACACGCTGCATAGCAAGTTCTCGTGTGGTAATTAAAAAAAAAACTTATTACTGTGTCTCAGTAAATGTTTTTTTATTATTGCTTGTGCCTTGAAAAAAAAGCAACAAAATGTGAGGGTTAGATTCTTTTCCCTCATTTTAATATGTACTGTAGTGTGTGTGTGTGTGTGTGTGTGTGTGTGTGTGTAGGTGTAGTGAATATTCAAGATGAATGAGCTTCTCTTTTTATAGCATAACCATTCCCAAAGTCAAGTAGAGAAGAAATTGATGCCCATTCTCCATGCCAAGCACGCAGGAAGCTACTTTCCAGCTGCCAATGCTAGGTCACATGGTGTTTCACCCTTCTGGTCCACAAAACCGAGGCAATGTTTTAACAGTCCACTGCTATCTATAGACGACGAACTCATGTTTATTGTACTTCATGCCAAATTGATCTCTCTGTGTGTCTTGATTTGGAAGTCAGAGAATCTGGTTTCCCTTTCCTGCTCAAATGTCTTGTGTTAATCCTTCATGCCCTGCCTATGCTTATTTGCTGTAGTTGGCAAAGCCAAGTTTCTCTTCAGGTTTTGTGGTTCTGACAACATTTGATGGCGACAAAGGGGGAGTTCACGGTGATGTATGTAAGTTGCCCATCACCAGACACACTCAGCTTTTTTTGTGTTCTAAAGGGTTGTTTTTTTTTTCCCCAGGATATACTCCTGTAAGGTCAAAACCAGCACTGTGGAAGACGCTCAGCAGTCAACCTCATGGGGGACCTGAGATGGCTGCTGTTACTTTCTCACTCCCACTACTGCTGGGCTTGGCCTTCAAGGCACTTACCATCCATCTCTTGCCAGCTCACTCTCCTGCTCCCTATGATCCATCCCCCACCCCCACCCCTGTGTTCACCCATGTGAGGAATGGGGCTCTAATCCTACTCGGGTTTCTGTTCGTTTGCAGAGTATCCATGTTTTGGAGAGAACAGCTTCATCGGGCACAGAGCCCTCTGTCAGTCGGCAACTGCTAGAGCCTGAGCCCATCCCCCTCTCCAAGGTCAGTGACAGTGTGATTGCTTTCACAAGTAGCCCAGTGCCTGCTCTGGGGCCAAATGAACTGTGAATAACAGACACCTGACTATCCTAAGGTAGCTGGGAAGCCAACTGTAGGTTTCTACTTCCCAGCCAGAGACTTTTTTTTTTGCCTTGTGTGAGGGGAGAATAGAAAGAACTATATTTCCTTGGAATTTTCAGCATTGTATATGAAGGTCTAAAAGTATTTTAAGGGAAGAAATAAAGAAAAAACTGTTATTTCCTCCTGGAGAGATAAGCAAAATAATTCTATGATTGATTAATGTGGGGGAAGAAATCACTAGTCCAGCAATTGTAGCAACTATCATCATTGTTCAAGTACTGTATACTAGCTGTTATCCAAAGTGCTTTCAGTGCATTATCACATTTTAAACAAGTGTTATAAGCAGCTCCTTAACGTGTGCGTACTTATTACATTTAATGAATCTGGAAAGTCAGGGTTAACAAATTTTTCCTAAGACAAAAAAGCTGTTCAGTAGCAGGAGGAAATACAGACTAGATTTGCCCAGTTCTCTAATCTGTGCTGTTCATCTCTATCTCACCTGCAAGATCCAGTGGTACCTACACCTGTTGGCCATCACACCTTGTGACTTCTGGTCCCCATCTAGTGTCTATCTTCCATCAGTGACTCTGAGGAGAACAGTACAGATTAAGACTCTTTCTGTATCATGGAAGCCAGAGTTCCTTTCTCTTCAGCCTGTTCTCCCCCAGATTTGGGAAGCATATAAAGTTATTTATGTCTCAAGTACCAAAAAAATCCCTCCAGAAGATGTACCCCCCTATTCATCTCTACCCCCCATGAGATGGTTATCTGAGGCAATAAGCTGGTTCCCTAATGGGAAAACTCTGAAAAGAGAGTACATGCAGGTTTCAGGTTCACATAAAAGAGCTTTATTTCCTAAAGAGGACTAATTATAAGTGTGCACGGTTGATCCTGATGCTTCCCTTCCTGTGTACAGCCTAAACCTTCAAGAAAAGATACTTCTATACTGTCCAAGACATAATTAATATGTACACTTGTATGTTTTCTACTTTGAAGATGTTACAAGCTACAAAATTTATTCTGTCAGACAGGAGTAGAAAATAATTATTAAACCATAAAAATAGAGGGGGGCTGGAAAGATGGCTCAACAGTTGAAAATGCTTTCTGCTCTTACAGAAGACCAAGTTTGGTTCCTAGCACCCATATCTGGCAGCTGATAACTCCTTGTAATTCCAGCTCCTTGGGATTGACTGTCCACTTTTGGCTTCTGTAGACACCTGCACATAACTGGTATACACACATGTATATACTTGCACCCTCAAAGGTACACACAGGTGCTTGTACACACCATTAAAAATAAAAACATCTTTAAAAAATAACTTAGAAATGAAAAGGACAGACCTCCATTTGAACAATAAATAGAGAGTACATGCTTGGTGACTGTAACTATCATTTTTCTTTGAAACATCCATCCTCTATAGCTAGTAAAAAGCTGAAAAATAAATAGATGTGGAGCAATGGAAAAAGCTAACATTTACTGAACACCTGTTTTGTGTCATAATTTTCTCAATTGGCCTCCACATCATTAAAGTGGGTATTGATTTCCTCATTTTCCATATAATTCCAACATAAAGGCCTAATCCACTTGTTACAGCTTGCCAGGTCACAGCAGCTGGGGTGCAGGTCTGTTGACCCAAGGGAGGGTCCGGGCTAGGAGTACCAACAGCATTTGCTACCCCATGGCTTCTGTTGCTTCTCATTTGCATCTTAATATAGGACTAACAGACCTTTTGTTTTTACATTAGTACATGTGGACAAATCTTAGGGTCTTATAAGAGTTGGTGTACACACTGAGGTGCCACTGTATCTCACCACTTCAGGGCCTTTAAGAGAACACAGGCTGCCTGTGTACTGGTTGGAGGGCTTTGAACAAGGCATTGCCCTGGCTCAGGATTTATTTAAATCCTTTGATGTTTTCAGCTCTTGAGACATTGTTGCCTATCCTCACCCAGCCCGGAGACTAACTTGAACTTTTTATACTTTGAAAGCATTACAAGCTACAAAGGTTATTCCATCCGGCAAGAGTAAACCTCTGGTCCATAGAAAGGGAAGAACTATTAAACTATAAAATAATTATTAAACTGTAATTTAGAGGGAGCTGGGGAGGTGGCAAGCTATAAGAGTGCTGAGGCCGGTCAAGTACTGACACGATCATCTTAGGGCTCCTGTTTCTGTTTCTGTTGTAAGTAGACTTAGGAAGAGTGGAAACTAGAACTGAAAATAAACAATGATTGAAATTTCAGGAAAAATACACCCTTTTTAGAAAATTATTTTAATTTTCTTATGATGTACCTAATTCACAAAGCGAGAAAGAGCGGTTTCGGCATTGTGGAAAACAATGTGGAAGGTTCTGTCTTGTGTGGAAATGGGTTGTTTCCTTTCCTGCATATTTTATTTGTAACCTTATCATCCATCAGCATTTATAATTGAAATAGGTGGGGATATTACTTACTCTGCTTTTATCCTTTGCCCCTTTGTCAGCTTAACAGCTTATCTTATCGTTACTGAATTAAGATTCTTTTCTGTTTTGTTGTTTTTGAACATTGTGCTGGAATACATGGCACTGCTAATTCAGAACAGCACCATTTCACGTAGATAATAGACTCATTTTTGGTACATTCTGTTTTACTTGTTTCCCACTTGTCTCTCCAATTCAGCTCTCTCGAAAAGGAAAGAAAACCACTCTAACAGAAATCAGTAGTGATGGCTACAAAGAGATGAGTTTGTGCTACACCTGACTTTAGTTAGTAGGGGGCAAAATGGTACTTGTTACTAAATGCTTCCATTTTATGTCATATAGAGATTCTTCATCAAACAGAGGGGTGGAGCAACAGAGGGGACATAACCCTTTTCTTTCTTTCTTTTTTTTTTTTCCGAGTCAAGGTTTCTCTGTGGCTTTGGAGGCTCTCCTGGAACTAGCTCTTGTAGGCTGGTCTCGAACTCAGAGATCTGCCTGCCTCTGCCTCCCGAGTGCTGGGATCAAAGGCGTGCGCCACCAACTCCCAGCTGGGACATCACCCTTTTAAATAGGATGTTTTTCTAAAATATATACATAAATCTGTTTTAATTGTTTATTTTTATTTGCATTGGTATTTTGCCTGCATGTATATATGTGTGAGGGTGTCAGAGTATGAAGTTACAGACAGTTGTGAGCTGCCATGTGGTTACTGGGAATTGAACTCAGGTCCTCTGGAAAAGCAGTCAGTACTTTTAACTGCTGACCCATCTCTTCAGCCCTAGAAATGTCTTTTAATACAGCTCACATATTTATTACCAAGGACTGAAGTACAGTGACTATATTTAAACACATGGGAAGTTGCCCTTATTCTTAATTCCTTAGTTGTGTCATCATTTGCATGGAATGTTACTGTTCTGATGAGAGCAGGAAGCCAGAGGTCCTTGATGGTTTCTATCAGAACTTACTATTTTCTCTGGTCTTCACACTGTTCATAAATAGGGTTCTATTATTGAGTTGCAACCCAGTATTAAAAAAGAGGACTCCAGAGCCTCCATGTGGTACCTGGGGTCATGGGATAGTGCCACCTCTGCTTGTGTCAGCCAAAAAAACAAACAAACAAACAAACAAACAAACAAAAACCCATGATATTCTGCACAGCCCAAAACTGTCTCATCAGAAACACTTTTATATCTAACACATCAACTGCAACATTATTTGTTGTGTTGTTTTGAGACAGGGCCTTTCTATGTAGCTCTGGCTGCCCTGGAACTTGCTATGTAGACCAGGCTGGCCTAGAACTCACAGAGATCCTTGTGCTTCTGCCTCCTGAGTACTGGGATTATAGGTGTGCCCCTAGACATGCAACTCAGAGCAATCACTGTTTCTGGCCCAGTTATCTCCAAGCAGAAATGCACATCTTGAGCTGTTGCATAGCATTGGAAGAATGCACAATGTTGCTAAATAGACACCCACAGGTCATGCATTATCTGTAGCTCACTCCTCAGCAGTGACTGTGGGATATGAGGAAATGGCAGTACTTTTAGGCTCTTTCCTGTGGTGGGTGAGGCAGCTGTGGGATTGGGTTTAGGTAAGATACAGGCTTGGTGCTGGTTTGGGCTTTTCAGAGAGACGGGACCGTCCCTGTATTTTATCTCCTAATAAAACTTTTAAGAAATTCTACCCTGGATATACCTATTTTGATTTAGCATAGATTAGACTTGGTCCCAAAACAAGCATCCTCTAGGATGAAGCAGTGGAGAAAGAGATGGTGAACACAGCCCTCTTTACCCATGCCCTGTCCCCTATCTGTGTTTGATAATGGCACCTTCTTTCCTGAGACTGTCAGGTCTTCACAGTTGCAGGGTTTGGTCTAGCCTGATATACAGTGCTCTAACCATTTTCACTCTGCCCTTCCATAGGGATCTAAGGTAAAAGCCTTTCAGAATGTAGTTACCCCATCAGCTGGGATGGGCCACTGCCGAAGGCCTGACCTGATCTGCACATAGTATATCCACCCCTCTGAAGCTAAGGCTGCAGAGTTGAGATAAGATAAGAGATTTTTTTTTCTTCCTCCAAGCACAAAAGTTTTGTTCGGGAAGTGAGAAACCTTTCTCTGTTAAAAAGACATATGGTAGTTCTGGGTGTCATGCCAAAACTCTAGAATCTGGGATGGTAAGAATGTTGCTACATCTGTGATCACCTTGAACAGTGGTTCTCAACATTCCTGACACTGCGACCCTTTAATACAGTTCCTCCTGTTGTGGTGATCCCCCAACCATAAATTATTTTCATTGCTACTTCATAACTTTAATTTTGCTACTGTTATAAATTGTAATGTAAATATCTGATGTGTGGGATATCTGATATGTGAACCCCAAAGGAGCTGAGACTCACAGATTGAGAACCACTAACCTAGAGCATATGGGTCCATAGCCATAACCCAGTCATATGATTTTCAAGCCCAGGTTGCTGTAAAAGTCAAGTAGGTTTGCTGAGTGGAGTGGTGCCACCATGACACACTGAAGACCAGCACCCTTTACTTAACAAGCTCAGTGATACCAACAGCTTATAAGCTAACATCAAATTTGGATCTTTTTTTTTTTTTTTTTTTAGACCAGGCTGGTCTCGAACTCACAGAGATCCGCCTGCCTCTGCCTCCTGAGTGCTGGGATTAAAGGTGTGCACCACCAACGCCCAGCTCAAATTTGGATCTTATGAACAAAACATGTCTGATGAAGGAGGAAACTGAATTAATCTGTTTTCTAACAGGAGGGGAAGAGAGAGAGTCTAGAGCCAAGGTACTTTTTGTTGTTGTTGTTGTTTACTGTTGGGTTTTATTTCTGCTGTTGGAGAGATCACACCTCGGGCCTCCATGTTTGCTAAGGATATTCTTTACCAGCGGTCTGGGATCCACATTCTTAGCCATGTAGATACGCTGTCCATGGGCTCCCAGGGGAATTTGCCTCTTGGGAAAGCTGGACTTCCTGGTATGTGATGTTGACTTGGAACTTTGGAGCCCACTTGGAGATGCACAGGGTTGCAGTGGGAAGAAAGAGGACCACAGCACTGCTCCGTGCTAACTGCAGGTTATTTTCCTCATTGGACCTCACAATCTTTCCAGTTCCACACAGAAGGCTGGCTCTACACACTGATTGAACATTTGTCATCAGATGTCTAATTTTAAGACTTTAAAGCCCCTCTGGTGCCCAGGATCATGGGGAGGAGCATTTTAAACATTCTCAGTACAGGAAATCAAAATTCCTTCCTACTTCCAAGCAAACTGAGTGTCCCCAGCGTGCCTATCATGGAGTCTGCGTGCCTCCAGGTCTACCTGGGAAACTCAGAGGAGCGTCACTTGAAAGCGCATGGCTTGTTTTGATGCTGCAATTAGCTCCGTAAATGTCACTCATCCTATTGTTGGGCTAAGGGTGGCATCAAAGGTTACATTCTGCCTAGGAATCTCCTTAAAGGCGTATCATTAAGCACGGGACATAAATGATTTGTTTTTCTTTTCTCTCAGGAAGCTGACAGCTGGGAAATTATAGAGGGGCTGAAAATAGGCCAAACCAATGTCCAGAAACCAGACAGGCACGAGGGATTTATGCTGAAGAAAAGAAAATGGCCTTTAAAGGGCTGGCACAAGGTAACCGCCCAATCGGATCAAAGCTGAGAGCATCATCATAGAGTCATTAGGTGGGAAATAATGGTCACTGGAGCTTGTGAATTTGAAACATTGTCTCAGAAACAAACAAAAACCCAGGAAGGAGAGGAGAGAAGGGGAAGACAAGAATTGAGGAAGGGAGGGACGAGGAGGATTAAAGAAAACAAGTTCTGTGGCACTGAGGAGATTCCATTCTCAGTAGAACCCTTTTTGTTAAGCTCCTTGGTGACTCACATCCCTGCAAGAGCAACTTCATACATTCACCACCTCTGCTGATGCATTTCATCTCGGAGTAGACAGATTTGCTAACCAAACGCTTGAATAATGACTGCCCACTGGCAAAGCACACAGGTTATGGATTACAACTTCCTTAAAGAAATGGACAGATGAGAAATGTTGCCCCACCCTGTCTTTAGAGTAGGGTGAAAGCCAGTCAAAGGGGCTTCCATCTAATATAGCTTTCCCTTGTCAGAAACTGTCTCCCTTCAGCCCATAATATCACCCCAATACCAAAGGCTTCTCTCCTCCACTCACCGTTGAATTTTGGCCAGCAAGTGATTTCTTCTAGGCCTGCCTCTGCATCTATCTTGTTCATTGATAACCTTATTTAGCTCTTTCCTATGACATCCTATTGTTATTCCTATCTAAAATTCTTTAATAGAAACGTAGAATTGGGAAAACAGACCAAAACCACATTTTGAAAGATGAATTACTATGTTCAGTTTAGCGTTCTGATTCCTGACTCAGCAAAATGGCTGTGGATTGATACTTTCTGGATTCCTTCTGGATTGTGTGTTTGGATATTTCACGTAAAGAGTAAGAGAACACCCCACAGTGTTTTTTCTCCTCTTCCTAATACCACTGGGTGTTGATTAAGTATCAGCCCAGTTGAATACCCAAGGTAAATATGGCAATTGAATTGCTTTTTTTAACGTGGAACTTTTATTCTGGCAGGTGCCTGTTGTTTTCAAGAATCCCAAACAAAGGGCTTACAGTGGCCCTTTGTGAGTTCTAGGCAGGATGACTTTGGGGTGATGTTCTGCTGTCTCAGCAGCCATGAGTTCCTGCGTCCTATGAAAATGTTCCAGCAGAGTACATGCCAGCAGCAGAAGGATTCCCTACATGTGCAGAGCTGGGGCAGGGCCCACCATGTGGCTTTTTCTAAATGGCCCACAGAAAGGAAGCCAACATGAAAGATTTCTTCAGTGTTTGCACCTAAAAAATGATAAATCCACACAGACTGTACCAGGCAGACCTCAGGGCGGGCAGTTGCCTAATCACCTTCCTTTATAAGTATTTCATTTAAAAAAAAAAGATTTTTTATTTATTCTTGGAGAATTTCACACATGTATACAATGTATTTTGATCATATCCACCCATTTCTTACCCAGTGCCCCCCCAGCACCCTAGTTCCCCCCCCAGAGCACCTCAACACCCTCTCTTACCAACTGTATATCCCTTTTTGTTTTAATATATGTATATTTTACTGGTCCACCTAGTATTGCCCATGTGCATTCACTGGGGCTGTTTACTGGGGCATGAGCAACCATATAGCCATATCCCCAAGGAAAAAGTGACTGTCTCTTCCCTGGTAACCATCAACCACCAGCCCAGGGTGGAGCCCCCTTGTTATTCTTAATTTTGCTTGGAAATATTATTTAATCTCTTTCACTAATAGTAGAACACAAGCATATTGCCAAGGAGATAATACATACACATTACCAAAGTGACTTAACCCTTGTAGGTAACTTATTAGTAATGGACCCTGTTAATGGCTTCTGTACCGAACATGAGAATTTTAAGAAAGTGCCCATGGGTGTCCAGGGAAAATTCAGGACTTCCCTGCAGAATTGTATAGGAATCTTTACAGAATTGCCATGATCTCTCCAGGTTATTTTTTCCTCACTTTTCTAATGTCCTAACACGGTTAGTTCATGAAACCTGAGCTGCAGATCCTTAGACCTCCTCCTGGTGAAGAACCATGGAGGAAAGACTCCATGACGTGTGTAAAAACACTCTACTAGAACTCGGACCCACTTGCCTCATTTCCTGTGACTGGCTGTGGCCAGATACACTGAGTCCCTGAATCAAAGTCATCAAACATGTTAACTGCTAAATGCCAAGCAACTGGTCACCTGCATTTGGGAATGCTTTATGTAATTCAGAGTACAAACAGTAACCATTGGTATTTGGTTCTTGCAGCGCTTTTTTGTCCTGGATAATGGAATGTTAAAGTATTCAAAGGCACCACTTGATGTAAGTAGCTCGAAGGACATGTTTCTCAGATTGATTTAGAATTCTGCTTGAAATGAGTAAACGCTGTAACTGTGCAAAGCTCTGTGCCATAGTTACCAGCTTTCTGCATGTCTGTGCTTGTAATATTTAACAATCTGCCAACTCTGAAGTTCTAGACAAGGTATGTTTTATTCTTATACTCAAGATAACATAAAAATCTCAAACTAGTGCATGGATATTTAACTATTTTTAAACAGAAGTTTAAACCTAAAAGTGACACATTAATAATTTCACCCTTCCTGTCCTAGGGAAAAGAATCAGAAAGTATTTTTTCTTTGCACTTTGACATGAATTTCATGTCCATTTTGGGATTTAAAGTCCTCCTTGTTCATGTCAATGTTTATTTAAAAACTGTGTTTTATACTTTTGTGTTTCATTCATCTTTTTATCTTGAGAACCCTAATTCATTAAGATTATTCCAAACTGCTTTTGCTTAATATCTAAGTACTACTTTGTATGCAAATCTCCGAGTTTCTTCCTTCCTGCCATGTGGTATAGGGAAATACCTAAGGGCTTAAAATTAGTTTTGTCCACCCATCTGCCATGGAATCAGCTATGTCCTTGGTCAGCCAAGGACAGCCAGAAGAAGGGGCTGGTGGCTTCGTGATCTTTGGTCTCAGCTGCCCAAGTCTGCCCTAACAGCTGCCATCCTGCTGATTCATGGGTCACGGTTCAAAAGTTGACTTCAGTTATTTTGGGAATCATTGGCATTGCCTTATTGAGGAGCTAGAAACTAAGTAGTCTGGAATTATGAAGAGCTGGCATTACTAGTGCTCAAAATAGAGGAAGAGAGTCATGTTGCATGCTGAAATGGCTGTGAAGTCATGATACCTCTGACTGTCCTTAGACCTTAGCCATTTTCTCTTAATTAAAAAGAATATAGTCACCCCCATAAGTGAGTTACAATTTTCCTGAAGCTCACTTTAGTTCAGAACAGAAACACAACAGCACATATACCCTTCCAGCATATTCGCTAATCTTTCTATTTCAGATCCAAAAGGGGAAGGTCCATGGGAGCATAGATGTTGGACTGTCTGTCATGTCGATTAAAAAGAAAGCTCGGCGAATAGACCTTGACACGGAGGAGCACATCTATCATTTGAAGGTGAAATTGTTTTCAGCATCTGGCATTAGCAGGGGATGCGATTTGCCTGCACCAGTGGCAGACTGGAGACGATTTCCACAGCTGTCTTTCTTTGCTCCCCGTTCCAGGTGAAATCCCAGGACTGGTTTGATGCTTGGGTCTCCAAACTGCGCCATCACCGCTTGTACCGTCAGAATGAAATCGTGCGATCACCAAGGGATGCAAGTTTCCACATATTCCCTGCAACTTCAACAGCTGAGTCTTCCCCAGCTGCTAACGTTTCTGTTGTGGATGGAAAGGTATAACTTAGTGCTGTAAGAAATCAGCCTGGAAATCCTTTAGAAACTTATACATATCACTGTGTCTCCTTTGAAAACACCAGAAAGAGAAGTTTGATTTTATAAGCTGACACCCAGAAGACAAGTGTCATTGGCACTAGAGTTAGTCACAAGCAAAGATGAGCCAGACATATGAATCACCAAGGGTTTCCAGTTATTTTTCCTTTATAATAAATGGGCCACATCATTTATGTGTGGCTTTTTAGGAATATTGGATGGTAGAGCAAATATTTGTTTAATCAACATCTGGGAATTCCTGGGTAGTAATAAAGAGGACCCCAAAGTTCTTAAAGTGAAACTTATATATTGCTTTGAGCTATGATGTATACATAACCCAGAGAGAGGCTACTCAATCCCCCACCCCCCATTCCCCCCCAGAGTTAATGCAAGTCAGCTGGAAAGGTCCCGTGGTATCAGTAGTATTTCAGTGAGACTGTGTTTATATGTGTACAAGTGGCATAGCCATCCCACGATGTGACCACATAGCTGTTTCCAAAATCAGTACCTCTTTTCATTAAACCAAATACTAGACAAGAGAAAGCTGCAGTTCCTTGGGTTATAGTAAGATTCATGGTCTGTGTTGCAGAAAATCTGGCAGTATTTCTTTTCTGAAAGTCAAGGTTGGTCGGCAGGCAGGGAAGCAGCTGTTTCAGTGTTTGATTCAGTAATTAGGTTGCTTTGCACAGGGGTATCATAGCTTCATGCTCAGTACCCCAAACTGAGGTCAGAGAAGCTGATTGGGTTCAAAAGCGTTCCAGTGAAGAGTCTGACTTCTCTCTTTGCTTCCACAGGTATCTGCATAATACCTAGATTACAGTTTCCTCTTTACATAGCATTGGAAAACTTCATTGGGAAACACCAGACCTAACCAACCAAGCTTAGTGGAATGTTACCCATGCTCGGGTTTTGTTATTTGATGGAAAGTACTTACTAGTGTATAAGTTAAACCCCACTAATTTTATTTCACAAGGCACTCTGATCTGTGGCTTTATTGTGATCTCATTCCTGCCAAAGACTGTTTACCTTTCTCCTAGTAATAATGTTGACCAAAATACTAACTAGTTCTGCATATAAGGGGAACAAGCCAAGAGCCAGAGGGATTGGCATTTGGGAACTCAGAAGTCCACAAGAGAGTCCTTGTATTTCTCTGGGCCTCCTGAGTTTTCATAACAGGATAGAATGAATCTGGGTTAGTCCTAGTGGAATGAGAACTGTATCCCAAACAGATCTTTAAAAAGAAAATATTAATTTTTAATTCTTCAGGTTTTTTTTCCAGCCTCTGCCTGTATCTTTGGCACAAAGTATTGATAAAAGATGCACTATTTTGTTCCTTGTCTTGTTTATTAAATAACATGGGAGATATCTGAGATTGGTGGACTGAAACCTAATCATTCCCCCCATTGTTTGCTCTGGAATAGGAAAACTCTCCAGCTCTGGTCTCCACAAAAGGTCCATTTCTCCAGTTGCAAGCTCAGAGCTCAGATTCCCTGGGTGATTTCCATTACACTCATCACAATGCAGTAAAGAGCCTTTTGTCCCTTTTCCTGCCTTCCACATATCGAATTAGGAGACTCCTGAGTGTTAGTTGGTTGGTGGCCCTGTATGGGTAATAAATAAGACTGGGTGCATTATTTATTTCTTAATAATTTAGAACAGACATAATCAGTTGCAAGTGAGTATTGGAGTCAGATGTGAAGTTGTATCTACATATTTTGTTCAGCTTTATTTCACATAAAAATCCTTCTAATGGGAAAACTACCAGCTATGGATAACTTGACAAGATATATATATATATATATATTTCCAAATGGTTTCGAAACATTCTAAGGCTGTTTGCTGGTGAGTAGTGAATTTAGGAATCGCACGATCGTGACAAGATTTTGAGCTGATCATTAGGGTACAAAGAGCTTCTGGAGAGGAGGGGCCTTTAGCCAGGGGTCAAGGAGACTGTGAGGAGGACCCTGTATCAAATATACTACTTTCTGAGTAATTTCAAGTGACTGGGTGTCTGAACAATGGTCCTCTTGAGTATAGGCTATTTTTTTTTACCCTGTTTTCTTCATTGGATGATGGAGGTAGCATTGATGGAATGTTATTAGCATGAATGAATTCAGCCTTCATTTGTGTAAATTATGCGCTTCATCTCTTTGTGTGCAGATGCAGCCCAACAGTTTTCCATGGCAGTCCCCTTTACCATGCAGTAACAGTCTCCCAGCAACCTGCACAACGGGGCAGAGTAAAGTGGCAGCCTGGCTGCAGGACTCGGAAGAAATGGACAGGTGTGCAGAAGGTTAGTTCCTGCCTCGGGGGCTCTCAGAGCAAGTCCCTCCCAAACCCAAAGCTGATGGAAATCCCAACACTGCAGCCTCCACCCTCATCTCTCTGGGTAACCTGGCCTTTCCCTTTTCTTATTGTGTACCTTCTAGATTCTTCTCTGTCCTGTGACCTAGGCTTCCTTCCTGCCAGTTCTCCACCTCCTCATAGATGAACTGAGTTTCTCTCCTGTCTTGGCTTCCAAGCTCTTCGACTTCTTCATCTCTTCACCAGTTCCTTCTCACTGCCTTTGCCTGTCCCTTGGGGCACGAAGAACTTGTGCTCTTATACCTGAACTCTGCACTGCTCTCCTCACTAGGTCCCTTCCGTCTTTGCTGTTGTGTTGCCCACCTTCCTGTGGCTCTTTACTGGCTCTAGGGTGTTACTCCAAAGCACTTATCTCAGCATTTAGCAGCCAGTGCATTCAGCATTTTGGCCCTACCTTGCCTTCTTCTCTAGTTTCAAGCACCTGTTTTTTGTTTTTGTTTTTGTTTTGTTGTTGTTTTTGTTTTACCTGAACGTATTTCCATATGTCCCCAGTGTGCCTGTGAGTAGATGATGGTTCTTCCCAACCTCTTTGACCTCCTCTGCATTTCTTTTTGGCTAAAACTTTTCTTCCAATCTTCTAGGCCTTTTGGGAATTAGGTGGGGTCTCTCTTGTAAATCTTGTTTCAAACCATGAAACCATAAGCACTCTCCCTTCTCCTCATCTCTTGCTGCACTTAAAATAACAAAAGAAAACAAAAAAACTGTATTGATCATTTGTCATAAAACATGCTTACTCCTGACATGGGTTTCAGTTTAAAAGGGGAACATTTCATATTTATTTCATTGGTTTAATTTCAAAAGACTTAACATTTTACGAATCCCATTATACATCTGATTTATAGCTCAAGCCATAAAGGTAATAATTGGCTCTTCTGGGATTATATGCATCCAGGTCTCAAATATATGGGGAAATTGCTTGGTTCTTAGAGCATATTTTTCCATAGAAATGAAATTCAAATTAGTAGAAGTCTACAATAGATTTTAAAGGAGTCATTCCTTGCCACATTATTAGTGATCTGAAGGCCAGATGTGTTTAACTGATTTTTAGTCTGTTTTGTTTTTCTGAACTTGACTTTGGCTCTGCCCAAAGTCCACGCAGCCCCTTGAAAACCATTTTAGAGGAACAAGTAGACAGGCCCCTAGGAATAAAACCACAAGACTGCTGAAGTCTCCAGAGTGTCCATGAGACAAAAGCTGTGAGGACAGGAAAGCAATCACACACAACTTGGTATGTTAAAGCCATCTACTTTCAGAGTCACAGTTGGTAAGAATGGGCTTTGAATCCCTCTCACCACCAGTGGCTCCCATGGTTCTGACCCAGAAAGAGGTAATTCTTTGGGTTACCCCTGAGTATTACCATTATATAAATATGGATCTGCCCATCCGTCCACCACATCATATTTACCACAGTGTGGACTAAGTCCCCTTTATTATTGTCACCACCATTTCTACCCAGTTCTTATGTTTTTGTCTTTACTAGATCTTGCACACTGTCAGTCAAACCTTGTGGAACTTAGCAAGCTCCTGCAAAACCTGGAGATACTTCAGAGGACTCAGTCAGCACCTAACTTCACTGACATGCAGGTAAACGTGTCTGCCCCAGTAACAAGATGTAAGATCCTATCTTAAAACCTTACTGGACTGTCCTGTGACTGTACAAGGTGACACCCAAAAGGAAATGACTGCATTCAGACTAGCGTTACAATTTTATCATAATATCAATATATGATTTATATTCGGGAGTTATTCTTTGCTTTCTTCCTTTAGTTAATATGTATTTGTGTTTTACCTACATGTATATCTGTGCACCATATGTGTGCAGTAGCTATGGAATCCTGAAGAAGGCATCAGATTCCCCAGGACTGGAGTAGTAATAATAGATGGTTGTGAGCTACTGTGCTGGTGCTGGAAATCAAACCTGGGTCCGCCATAAGAACAACTGCTGAACCATGTCTCCAGCCCTTCTGGAGTTATTTGTAATACAATGAAATTTGGTGTCATTGTGTTAAATAAGAAGAGTTTTATTGATGTTTTACATTTAAATATATTACTATTGTAGACATATATATTTGTGTCACTTTCCTGTGTCATTTTTTATATTAACAGTGATGGTTTTGAAGTTTAAGCTCTAGAACTTTCAGATGTATGAACATCTTTCAATGTAGAAAAGATGCTTGAAATCTCTGATCTTGTTTTTATTTTTTTTGCACACTAGAAATATAACTTTCACAAGTAAGTTAGAGCGAAGCCTTTGGTTTTAGTATACTGTCTGTCTTCCTTGGCTGGCTTGCTTTGGGGTTCTAAAGATTACTAACTAACTTTCTGGGCTCTTTGTGTTATCGTCTGTGTGAACTTAATAACCCTTTGTTGCTTTTAACTATTTGTGTAATGTAGGCTAACTGTGTAGACATTTCAAAGAAAGACAAGCGGGTCACAAGACGTTGGAGAACAAAAAGTGTCAGCAAAGATACAAAAATACAACTGCAGGTACTGCATTTTGCTTCCCATTCCTTTGCCTTTTCATTCACCATTAAAGTATTGTCTCTGTATCCAGTACATCCCAGCCCCTGGCCATGAGGTTGAAGGAATAGCTTAACTGTTGAAAGCCTGTGCTTTGCTGACAGAGTTGTGTTATTTAAACATGGAATTATTTGTTTTAGTTCATTGGACAGTAAGTCCAAAGACCTTGAAAGGTAGGGGTGATCCAGTTTGGCCACGTGGTAGAATTTCTATCCTCAGTCACGGCCTTTGAAGCGTTCAAACTCAGACAGAATGCCACTTTACAATCAAAACTGGAAAGTCGGTGTGGACTGTAATGTACGTTCATTTATGCAGTCTCAGTATTAGAAGGCTGTTTTATGGGTGAACTTTGTCCACAGTTCTATCGGCCTTATAGGAATAGGTACTGTGGCTTAAAAATCCACACAACAGGTGTTAGTGTGACCACTGTGATTCTCTGGCCTCATAATTTAAGCATTTCTGTTAAATTTTCTCCTGCTCAAATTATAAAATTAATGTAATGATTACTGAATTGTATCTCAACTGTGACATTCTATAATTACAAAGGTAGATCATATCTGGCCTATAATGATCATTCTAAAATTGGAACTAAAATCTTCATAGCTCACAATAAATTTACTTGAAATTAAAATCTTGACTTCCAATAAATAGTTGTAAAATTTCAAATATGATCCTCTTGTGTTATTGCATTTCAGTAATACAGAATACGATAAATGCCTAAAACCCCTTATGTCATAATGTTACTACTTACAAATCTTGACAAAAATCTCTACTATTCTTGCCTTAGCTGTGTAAGGTGATTGCTTACCTGCACAGTTTTGTTTTGTTTTTAATTATATGGATGAATTTAGATTCTAACACAAAAGTGAAAGTAACTACTTTTCAGTGCTCTGCCCCTTCTTTTGAGTAATTAATGAATGTAATTGTCCTCTAATTCAGACTGCTTTAATAACATTCTTTGTATTGTCACTCTGAATGTGTCAATAACAAACTGCTGATGTGCTTTCTAATCTGATGTAATTCATAATAAATTTTCACAAGCACTAAACATTACTATTTCTATTTGGAATATCTGCATCCCATGATCATCATTCTGCATGTTGCTTTGAGCAGTGTACTTTGATGTGTTTCCCATTCTATTCATAATATTAGTGCTGCAGGAAAAATATGCCAAATGATTTCACAAGAAACCTGCAAAATTGTCATTCGTTTTGAGCTTATAATTTGTTTGTTTGTTTTTAGTCATAAAGACTAAAAACATAAAGTTCTCATGTCTAAGAGAATAGAGCCATTTTTGCAACCAGAAAAACCCTTTCTTTAAATTAAAGAATTAAAGAATGCTAGCATCCAAAGAACATCCCTGTTTGTGATAGATACTTTTTCAGTCTTTTTCTGAATGCATACCAGTGAACAGATTCCATTCATAGCCGTTGTCTGACTGGACTGGCTCTCAGTGAGTCTGAGCACAATGCCCCTGGCTGTCTGTGGGGCCAGGACTCCCACCACAAGCCCAGCTGATCCATTTTTCCCCCCTGGAGGAAACAAAATGTAGTTCTGGTTAATAAATGTGCCGAAAAATTGTAAGGATTGTTTGAGTCATCAGAAGAAATTGGTGCAAGAGCAGGCAAATCTTTGAGTGACTTCTTTGAATTTTTCACTGATGTTGTCTTGCTTTGTTTGACCAGTGAGTGACACAAATGACCCTTATAATTCTTATCTAGATGAGAAACCTGCGATTACCTCATCCCTATACTCACTTTACTTTCTCAAAAGGAGCAGATGTAGTTTTCAGTAGAAACACAGACTTGGGATGACAGTAAGCTATAAATCACTCCCAGAGAGCGTTTACTTCCATTTGGGCTTTAAGTGTGTGTCATTGGCTGGAGTGCTGCTGCAGAATTTGGTATCATCCCCTTGAACATTTTCCACTTGCCTAAGGCAACAGGTCTTCCAAGAGCTGTCCAGGAGTCTCCAGAACAGGACTGGAGCTCCTTCGACATCCCCTTGGGGATGAATAAGTCCACCCAGCAATGTCTGTTACCAGCAGGAACATCTTTGCTCAGCAGTATTTTGCCTACAGAAAGGCATGACATTTATTTTTACCAGGGTAGATTTTCTCTTCACCCTAGCTGCATTCCTTTCCTATCCCCAAAGCTTTGTGATTGTGAGAATTCCATCTAACGATGCCATGTATTTGTTTTGAATTCATTATCATCTCACTTTTCCAGATGACCGCTATTGCACCCAACTTGAGAGATTCTTGTATCATGACAACTCATTTTCTGTTGTTTGTAATTCAGGTCATTAGTCAGTTGCAAAGGAACCCAGGCTGTGTGACAGTGGTAGTTGGGTGGTGATCATTTATTGGTGTTGATATTGTGTCATTGAACATTCTATAGTAGTTGTCATCTTGAAAAAAATATAGATTTTTAAAAATTGACTCCAGGAAGTAGAAAATGAAACGTGTGATACCAGATATTTGATAGTAGCTTATTGTTGGTAGGGTAGATGGCTCACCTTTCTGAAACATAAAAATTAAATGCTAGACCTATTTGACCATATTTATACTAGATGCCATTGAACTGTTGCTCTCAGAAATCAGTTTTGCAACTCATGATGTCAACATTTGTCTTGAAGGTTCTGTGGAGATTATCTTTTAAGAAAATAGACATCCAGGTCTCCCAAAACTTCCGATTTTCTGGTTCTAATAAAAATCTCAGTAACACTGTTTAGTCAAAAGTGCTATAGAAGAGGAGAACCATAGCCCAGTGTTATTAATAGAGTAAATTAGATAATAGGTCCTAGATACTGGAGGAATCAGGTAGAGTAGGAGGAAGTACATAGTAGCCAGTCAAATTACCCATCATTAACATGAAGCTGACCTAGTCTCACATTTCAAAATCATACTGACATGGGAAGATTAGTCCTTCCTTTTATTACATTGAAGGCAGCGATTTTATACAGAAAACCTTTGTAGAAAATAGATTATGCATGTATGACACATATAAATATGCAAAAGATTCATGAACTAAGATATGAGAGTAATTTGGAAAATGTAAAAGAGAATTGGAGATGTGAGAATTCAAAACATTTGTCATTCTACACAGATGAAAGTATGTTGTTATTGTTGTTGTTTTTATGTGAATTGTTGGGTTAGTCTAAGAAACTTCACTTTGGCTAACTAAATTGGAACTATTGTTCCCAATCTTGGAGAGTCCGGGTTTGTAACACAGAGGCAGCATAAGAAGGGGAGATGCTGCCAGGCATTGGTGGCACATGCCTTTAATTCTAGCACTCGGGAGGCAGAGGCAGGGGGATCTCTGTGAATTCGAGGCCAGCCTGGTCTCCAGAGCAAGTGCCAGGATAGGCTCCAAAGCTACACAAAGAAACCCTGTCTCCAAAAAGAAAAGAAAAGGGGAAATGTCATTACCTCTAGGTTTCTTCAGGTTTGTGCACAGGTGCACACTGCCAAATGGAATCCCTGTTCTCAATTTTTCATAACTGGTGTTTTTTAGACATTGGCCCCCCACACAGAGGCCTTAAGGGCTCCCTAGCTCCCCCAAACTCTGATCTAGTGGGCCTGGCCTCCATCTTATGATTCTTCAAGTTGAAGATCCCAACGTTCTTGCTTACACTGAATCCCTGCCAGCAGGCCTTTTGGTAGGAGGTTAAGTAAGGGGTTGAAGAATCCTCTTTCTCTTCCCCTTGTTCTTTTCTCTGAATACAATTTTTATTTGTTTATTTATTTATTTATTATTTGCTGTTATGTTTTATATAATTACTTTCCCCTGAGCTTGCCTGTTTTCTTCACTACCGTTTACTGGATGCCTTTTGACTTAATACAATGTGTCATCACATTTTTCAAAAGGGGTGTGCCAGTTCATTTTCCCTTAGAATCACAGGCTCCTCGTTAATGCGATAATTCATGGCTCTCCATATTCATAGCTTTGGGGACAGAGATTATATTCAGGAAGTGGGCTCAGTGTTTGAGTGGTCTGCAGTGAGAATAAAGGACATTCCTTGTGGCATGAATATCCTTTTGACCTGTTTCAATGCTAAGACTTTTTTTTTTTTAAAGAAAAGTCAATTACAGTTAAAACTTCCTTTTTCTGATTATCTTTCATCCCCCCCATAAATCCCCTCTTCTTCATCCCCATCCCATGTTTTTACCCCCTTTTCTTCTCCCATTCACTGTCAGGAAGGGCCACCTGCGAAGGGCCAGTTCAACACAACTCGGCGCCGGCAGAGGCTAGCAGCGGCAGTGGCTACAACAGTGAGTGGATTTCCATCTCAAATGAGGAACAATGTGGAAGGGTGACTTTATGGTGATGGTGCCACCAGTGTGTTGTGGATCACCTGTGGCCTACTCAGTTGACATCACTTTGGAATAGTCTCTGACTCTTCCTTGCATGGCAGGAATTAGATGTGGGTGCTGGTTTTTGCAAAGGAGCGCTAGTTCATAATCCTGTTCTACTGTCATTGGAAGAAATGATTAAAACTCAAGTTTAACTTGAGTAACTGATTATGAGGCCCTGAGATGGGAGAATTTTCTTAAATTATGGTATTTTATTTATTTATTTTTCCATACTGATACCAGAACCTTTGCTGTTTTTGTTTGTTTGTTTCTTTTTTTAAATGTGGGTTTTCATGTCATCTCTACATGGCCACCCAAAGTACCCATAGCAAGGGAAATCACTTTCTGGAAAGAATATTGGGCTGGAAACTGGAAAATATAGTGTGGAAATGAAAAAAAAAAGCACACAGAATTAGATGATGACTAATCCATATGTAGAGGGGCACACAGAATTAGATGATGACTAATCCATATGTAGAGGGATGTTTTTCCTTCCAAGAGACAAAAGAATAGATAGAAAGATATACATAGGTAGATAAGGTAAAGAATCATGACTGTCCATATAGAATACAAAGCAGAACACCTGACCACAGAATCATTTGCTGGATAAAAGTAAATCATAATATTAATGCATCCCAAGATCTCATTTGATTTTAAAAATATAGATTCCCAAGTTCATAGTAATCATGGGTGCTAGTTTATATCTGTTAAATATTTTCTGAGTTAATAACAACTTTATTCTTGCAAAAAAATAGGATATACTTCGAGGTATAATTGCTAAATGCCAGTGAGAAGGTTTGATTGCACTGTAGAATAGCTCCTGGTGTGGGGGCTGTTGGTTTTCTACTTCATGGTCAGCTTGAGTGTGAGATGTAAGTGCTTAGCTAGACCACAGGATAGAATTACTGTTGATTATTGAAACAACCAGTGACTTGGAATTAATTAGGGAACTGACGCCTACATTGATAGTTTTACAAATATTTGAACCAAGTCATTACTGAAATTGCACTCTGGTGCTATGGGTGAATTCAAATGCAAATGAATGAAGTCTTGGCCCCTGGTTCAATAACAGATTCTGGCAGTAGACATGTCTAACCAAATGATCCTTAGAGAAGTACCGGTATCATAGTCTGGAGAGCCAAGGCCGGTGGCCTTGTGAGAACGCTAATGCTTCCTCCAATGATATGCTTCCAAAATAGCATGCAGGGAGGTGATTGTGTTTTTCCTGGGTTCCCATTTAAGCTTTAGATGCATACAGTGAAAATAATAAAGTTTGGATCGGCACCTCTTCAAGTAGAGTATGTTTATGCTTTCTTCAGTTGGAAGCAGAAGAAAAGGCTTTTTTTTTTTTTTTTAATGGAAAGCATTAATGCTCACATCCCAGCATAGCTGTGACCACAAAAAGAACTTAGATGATTCTAGTGAAAAAAGGTGCTGTTGACACTTAAAGTAATTACAGAAATAGCTGGGGTTGGATGGCTGCTGGCCCCTTTAGGATCTGTGCTTTGACTCTGTCCTGTACCTAAGAAGCTTTACACCGCAGGATCCACCACTGACCCCTCCTCTTCCCAACACTGACGTTACCCCACATTTGAACCTGCCCTATCCTGCAAGAAGCCTTTTGTCTAGACTCCTTGCACAGTATCCCCTTCCACTCAGGCATCTGGAGTGAGTAACTTTTATACCAAAGAAGTCTGCCAGAGGCAATGTTTCCAAAATTTATTCTTGTGGGACCTTAACACTGGCCAGCTTTCTCCATTAGCCAAAGCCCACAAAACTTCAAACAGGGAACACAGAAACACTGGCCCCAACTGTAGAACAATACCAAGGCCCCCCAAGCTACCAGTACCTCAAACATATCTTTGAAAGCAAACAGCAAATTATGAATGGGGGATTTTTCACCCCGGCTCAGTAAGACCCCTAAGCTTAATACTATTGGACACACTGGTGTTCTTTCTTTTCTGGTGATCATTGCTATATTTGGGGCTAGCAGGTCTCCTTACAAATTCACTTCTCTTTTGGCTTATTTGTAGGTGAATTTTCAGGGCATCCCCTAACATTTCCATTCCATACTAGTTTCTGGTATCAGAGTGTTCCAGAAGCAGGCTTCCAGGGAACCTTGAGGGTCTTTCCTTAGCAGGAAGAAAGGCTCAAATCACTGCACTGAAGATTCTCGGCTCTAAACATGGGGTGCTGGTGGCAGCTCCCATCCCAGGCATCAGAGGCGGCAAGAAACCTGCCACCACCTAAAATGTTTTCTATCCAAATTCTGTCCAAACATCAATAAATAAAAACAGAATGAGTCCCCAAAATGAAGAAATACTCGAGTCAATTAGAGGAATAAATCCTAGTTTATATTCTCTATTTTATAGATAACTCAATTAAAATGACCCATTCAACACACTCTCTTAACAAACAAAAATAGTTTTCATCTTCCCAGGAAACTGTCCGATTGCAATTAACATGGAATATTGCCATTTCATTCCCTCCAGGTCACACACAAAGCCACTTCTACTGTTTTAGGCGTCAGTTTAAACTTCCATTATGTTCCAATTGTAAATTTGTAAATTATGTGCTCCTTCTCAGCATCTGATCCCAGCATTTAGTGGAGAAGCCTTTAGTATGGACAGTGTGGGACTTCTTGGACTCCATGAGTTTTCACAGTGGCCCCCTCTGCCACACCTCCCTAGGCTAACACAGCCCCCTTCCCACCCACTCAGAATCAACACCCTTGCTGACTAAATCCTTGAAGTATTGAGGGTCCCTGAGTGACACGAAACTCTTTCCCATGACCTTTATTTAGTATGCTGTATCTCCGAACACCAAACACCCACACTTGTTTTGCTTAATGTCCCTTTGTCTACCTTTAATCATTTTCCACACAGATCCCATGCTTCTTTTACATATTCCCAAAGGTCCTGTGTCATTGTTATCACAGAAGTACCCTAGACAAGAGTCGCTCAAATAAGGGAACACCCGAATTCCATTCTTTCAAATGACTCATTCCCTGCTTGACTGTCTCCAATCTGGAACAGGAAGAAGTTCTGAGCCTGATAAGATTTCGACAGCCCCCAGCACAGTGTCATTATAGTCCCTACTAAGGATAAAAGATAATGGCACTGATCCTTCTGAATGCCTGGGAGAATGTGTTAACATGCTTAGCTTTGCTGGCGGTATTGGGAAGTTTTACATGCTCTTCCTTCCTCAGTAATACCGTTTTCCCTTTGATAACTGCAGATAAATTACTCACTGGAGAGCTGAACTACACCAGCAGGGCCCTCAGGCTAGTAGTTGCCCAGCCAGATTGTTTTTTCCTCTCCACCTTGTCTGTCTGAGAGAGAGAGAGAGAGAGAGAGAGAGAGAGAGAGAGAGAGAGAGGAGGAGGAGGAGGAGGATTTTCCCTATACTCTCTTACTTACCAAATCCATGAAATTTAAATAAAAAAAACAAAAAATTAAATTAAGTATTTTATAACCCCACAATGCCAAAGCCAAGGCATTGCCTCCTTCCTCCAATGGAAATATGCAAATTAACCAAGAAGAAAGAGTTATCATTTCAATTGTAGAAAATCTAATGTCTGTAGAGTCTATGGTAGCTGAATGAACATCTATGCAGTAAGATTAAGGGGAAAGTTACTGGTGGATTTGCTAGAAGAATTAGTATCTCCATTTCTCTAGAACAATTGGTTAATAGCATTTGTGACCCTTGCATTGACCCTTCTAAAAGAGACAAGAAAGTGTTTGCCTTCACCCAACACAAGCAACATCCAGATCTAGTCTGGGCAGAGAAGTTCCTGGAGCCATTGGGAATGGTCTACAATAATGTAGCCTTTTCTCCCTAATGCTGTGCACTGGTGGCCGGTTCACAAACCACATTCAGCTATATAACAGCATCATGTGTAACGCATAAAGGCAAATGGCAGTGACTCACATAATAGCTTCACTGTGGATATCTACTCTAGTAAGTATATTTTTAAATGACTGAGACTCTTTAAGTCATTAGTGTATGTACGATAAACTTGCTTTTTCTGTTGGCTGTAGACCAAGTGAGTCCTTAAGTATATTTTTACATATCAATCAAGATCCCCCCTAGGCTCAAAGACCAGTGAACATATATTGCACTCTGTGTAAGAACAAGTCCACACATCAAGGTTCAGGTTGCTTTTTTCTGCCAGTTATTTTTGGGGACAAGTGAAGGTTCGGAGGTGTGCTTTTTCATTCCATAGTAAGAATGAAAACCCAATGAGTCCTGGAAATTCTTGAACAATCAGAAAAAAGACCCCATCTTCCCAGCCTACACTGCTTACAAAATAAATAAGGACTGAGAGTCTCCAAGCATGTCACCAGAAAGGAGCGAATTGTTTAAAGGATAGGAAGTGCCTTGTCTGTATAGGAAATGGCGGAACAGGGCGTGGTGACACTTGAATAATTTACACCTTCCCTTCCAGGTTCCCTTCAGTGCCACCATGTCACCAGTGCGTCTGCATTCCTCCAACCCCAACCTTTGTGCAGATATTGAGTTTCAGACCCCTCCTAGCCACCTCACCGACCCTCTGGAAAGTTCCACAGATTATACAAAGCTACAAGAAGAATTTTGTCTGATTGCACAGAAAGGTAACACAGCAAGTTGTTTTCTTTGACCCTGGATAATTTGATGAAGATCACTGTTCTCAGCATCCAGGTTGACTCTCTAGGTTTCATGTGTCTGATATTTACAGCACAACCAGATATCACTTTAACTTCATAATCCTTAAATAATCGTTTTATCATTTTTTCCTATGGATGTGCTTATTGATGCCATCTCCTAACTCCTCATAAATGCTTTTTGTTGTTGTTGTTTTGTTTTTTGTTTTTTGTTATTGTTGTTGTTGTTGTTTTTACGAGACAGGGTTTCTCTGTGGCTTTGGAGGCTGTCCTGGAATTAGCTCTTGTAGACCAGGGTGGTCTCGAACTCACAGAGATGCGCCTGCTTCTGCCTCCCGAGTGCTGGGATTAAAGGTGTGGGCCATCAACGCCCAGCTATAAATGCATTTTTAATTGCTTTGTTAATCTGGATGCTAATACTGTGATCAGAGCCAACGGTCTTCCTTGCAGCTCAGATTCATATCCAGTGTCTTTGCTTCTGGGGTGGAGGGGCAGCAGGTAGAGAGAGATAACACATCGGTGAACACAACAGCACAGAGAAAGGATGAACTTGATGGCAGCCTCAAGAGAGCTTTGTTTGGTTGGTTATAGTCCTGACGCTTCTAAGAAACACAAGTTTCCACAGTGTTTGAAAGCCTCTGTTAAAACTACAGGTTTTTTTCAGCAGACATACAGATCCTCCATGCAAGGGAGACAAAATAGACCGATCCATGCTTTCCCTGGACTCTTTGAAAAAGCACCGTGAGGCGCATTTGAAGTCAACAGTGGGATTAATTCCAGCTGTCAAGTTGTTACCTTGCAGTCGATGGTGGAATGTTGCAGATAAATTAATAGATTATGAGGCAGTGGGTGTAGCTCTGTACTTCCATCAGGCTCTGGGTTCCATCTCAGCACCACAAAATAAAAACAATCGTCTTACCTCCAAAACAGATTGTGAATTCTTTAGATCCCTGGCACCCCCACCCTTCATCCACCCCCCATCATCCTTAATTCAGGCCACTATTTTGTACTAGATTCTCATACCTCTAAAAATAAACCTTTTCAAATAAAGAAGTCTATTTTTGAAGACTTCGCACTTTGAAACACTGTTAATATAAAAATAAGAATTCTAAGTTCAGCCTTTTGTGGTTCAAACCACAAGACTGCCTCAGATTTCACCACTATAACTTGTTAGATATGTGGGAAATGAGGGGAGAAGTGTTTTTTTTTATTGTTGCTTTTAAATCAAAGCACCTATGACACCGAGACACTTATTGCTGACAAGGTAGTGCCAGTGATGTTTTTAAATCCAAATCTTTTCCCACTCCCAAGAAGCCAGTCAGGACTTGTGGATCCACTGCCTGCTTTATGTTGATAAAACTCATAAAATGCTCTTTTTTGGAGGTGTGCACTCTGTGAAAAGAACTCTGTAATAACTCTTGAGTTGCATGACACTTTAACAGAATGGCTATAAATGTTATCATCCAGCATGACAAAGCATGCTTTCTCTTCCTTCTTGAGATATAAGTTAATTTCTAAGTATTGCTGTTTAGAATTGATGTTGATATTTTATTAATTGCTTCCAAATCTTTGTTGGCTCATCTGGTATGAAATATAAAAAAATTTCCATTTTAATTAATTACAATTGCCATATTAGTTTTGAGTATGGACACTCAAATTCTATTTAAGGCCAGTTTTTGTTTTTCCTAAAAACTGATATCTTTTTAGTCAGACTGTAACCTAGTCTTTCTGGGAAGTGGCTAGATACCAGATAGTGTCAACAGAAGTTGACATCCTGTATGTTCGTTCTACTGTAGTTAGTGTTTGTTTCTTGCTTTTCTCCCTGCTCAGTGCATTCTCTTTTGAAGTCTGCATTTAACAGCATAGCGATAGAGAAGGAGAAGCTGAAACAGATGGTTTCTGAACAAGACCATAACAAAGGCCATAGCACACAGATGGCCAGGCTCCGACAGTCACTGTCACAGGTAAACCCAAGTGTTTTCTTATGCATGACCAACAAAAGATGCTAGGCAAAGGAGAGGGCCGGCAGCACTGGGGATGGCATGTCCCTCAGACATTCTGCCAAGACATTGCAGAGTCAGTATTGAGTTTTATTAGTTTTCTAAAATTGTCAAGGTAAAAGTGAAAATGAGTAATAATTTCTGAGTACATATAAATTGTTATTTTGACTACTTGAGTTAATGTCTGGGGTCATTTGTCAGACAGCTCCTGATTTGAAAAAAACAAAATAGGCATTTATACATGATTTACATGTTTAAGGAATATTCTAGGATATATTCAATCTAATGGTAAATTGAACAAAATCTACTAGGTCTTCCACGCTTTATATTTTTCCACCTATATTTTAATCTGTTGAAAGTTACTAACAACTGTGAATTAATAGGTAAACGGGTAATTACTAATTAATAGTAAATAGGTAATTACTAATTACCTACTTCTTCTCTGATTTGCACTCTGGGGATTTCCTTCTGTCTGTTACGCTCCTGAACTAGACTTCTATATTTTAGCATATGTCATATTTTACTTTACTAAGAGTAGCCACACCCCTGTATACCTCAGCATTGAGGTTTCTGTTACAATCAAAAGCCACACATTTCTTCCTCTGTAATAAACATTTTCTTCAGCCAGTCCTTAATTGAACTCGGTTTGATTCCTTTGAGCATGTAATGCTGTTATGTGACTTTTGTGTGAGAACTCAGTGTTTATATAAAATATTATTCACTTCCTGGTGCCTTGGATCAGAGTGAAGGAGCCAGCAAATCCTGGGTAAGTGGCTCTCCGTGTGGATCCGACCCTGCTTGACTGTTTCCCGTAGTCTCTAAAAGGGAAATGTGAGCGCTCATCACTGTGGTTTTTGTTCCTGACCTGTCAGTGTTTTCAGTATCCAGACTCCTATGATGATGTGCCAATGTCTAGGCTACACATTCCCCACCACCACAAACACCATGCTGCTTCCGGTGCCAGTCCAGGGCCTCGGGGGCATGTGCATCACACATGGCCTGTCTGGCAGCCTGCAGAGGACTTCACTTATTACCTCTCAAAGGTTCTGACATCTGTTCGTGTCAGTGAATCCATGAGTGCTCTGTTAATGTTAATTGATCTTCCAAATCATTATTGTGAATGTACCATGAAGCAGAAAGATCAAAATAGCAGTCAAACAAACATGTAGGTGTCATCTTGAAGACACATAAAACATACCCTGCACCCCAAAGTGTTTCAGGGTTTCTTTAGTATGTTTGATGATGTTAGCTTAATGACATAAATTGAACATATAGTGAGAAAAATAAGAAAACTTGTATCTTGCTTGCCGCTTGCTTGCCTTTGTTTATCTCTTGCTAAGGCAAAGAATTGGCTTGAGGTCTGGGGATATCAGCAGGCTGATAGAATGCTTGCCTAGCATGCACAGAAAGTCCAGGTTCAACCCACAGCGCCGCATAAAACTGGGCAAAGTGACATGTGCTTCATAGTGTTAACACTCAGGACATGGAAGCAAGAAGATGTGATGCTGAAGGTCTTCCTTGGCTACATAGTGATTTTGAGGTTGGCCTGTAATTCATGAAATCCTGGCTCAAAAATGGATAGAGATCTAGGATTTGAAAGAATCTAGAAATGACTAAGAAGAGAGAGTGCAGTGGTAGAAAATCATCTGTTCATTTGTGTATACATTTAACTGACTAGATATTGTGCAAGATATGGAATATCACAGGCCTGGTTTCCAAGAAGCTCATGATCTTGTTGGTAAGTGAACACTGTCCATGCACCCAGGAAAGAGTTAAAGGGACCACACTGTACCATTCACAGCAGTGCTTGCTGTGGCAGATTTCTAGGGTTCCGGTTGTTGAGAAGCAAGAGATCAGAGCCGAAAGCACAGACAGGGATCTGACTTCCTCCAGAGACAGGTCTGAGGGGATGAAGAAGGACCCAACCCTGAAAAACGATAGGCAAAATCAACCATGTACACTTTGAGTTCAAATAGTTCCCTCTTTTGAGAGATACTTATTTGCGTCTTGAACAGGGCCTTGGTAGACTTTTCTTGGGTTGTTTGGTTTAGGGTTGTTAAACTTCAGTTTTCCTACTAATAAGGGGGCTTAAAAAAGATGTGAAAATAATTTGAGACTATCAAGACTGTTGCACATTAGCCACTGGAGAATCCGATGCTTACACTTGTGTATCATAGCTTTTGGCTACATTAACATTATCATGCCCATCTATATAGTTCATTTAATTCAGTCAAGCATACACTGGCTTCTTTTGCCATCACTGCTGTGGTGATTTCTGTTTTAGAACACTCAGTGGGGGGTCTAGAGAATTTGGCGAAAGGGAACGTTCTTCCATGGGTAGTCATTCGATGGTAACCAGTCCATTGAGACACAAAGGATTAAATTTATGCTATCAATGATAAGGGAAGCTTATCAGAAATTGAAACTCTTATGGCATTCTATGTATATTAGAAAGATTAGTCAAGTACAGTAGTATGGAGAATGGATGAAACAAAGGCAAAAAAAAAAAAAAACCAGTTGGCCATATTCATTATTTGAGATAATTTGAGACTGTCTTATAATGTGTGGGATAATATTCCCAAAGTAAAGAGGTTTCATGGTTTGTAGAACAAGGACTGGGCTTGAAACACATTAGGGATCAACATGGCTGGTGATCAGCGGAAGGGGCTAGAAGGCAGAGTCCAGCCTGGTTTGATAATGTGGTATGTCAGTTCTTTCTACCCAGAAGAGGGGAAATAGATAGGACATATTTATCAGAGGCTTGTGATGGATGATTTTGTAGAGGAGGTCATCTAATATGATGTAGATCATCTAATATGCAAGTGGAGATATGTATCTCCATCTTGAGAAGCCAAAAGAAAGAAAAGGAAAGCTCAGCATCTCAGGGACATTGAAGATGTTGATGAGTTGTGTTTTCAGACAAAGCCGAAAGAGGATGAGATACTGAGAGTAGGAAACAATCAATTGCAGCATCATGGCCAGCACTTTTTTGCACCTTAAATATAGTACTTAAGACTGTACAAGTACCAAATAGTTCAGTACATTGAGATAGTTTGTCTCCACATCCTGTGTATATTTTCGTATTAGCATAACTTCATGTTAGAGTGTGCTTTCCGATAACCCAAGGATACCTTTGGTCCATATACCCCATCAGCAATTAAACCCCCAGATGCTTTCCTCATGGTCTCCCTACAGAAAGGGAGGAAGAAGAGAGATGGTAGTTAAGTAACTTAAATAGACTGGCATTGAGATAGCTCATGTTTTATTTGAGTTAAATCCTATTAGAGAGATATCTAATGATTAAACAGGTACATTTTCAGGAAGTTTTCTCAGTATATATGATATCATCTTAACAGATTCTGTTATCTTTTTAGCAGGCACATAACATATGAAGTAGATAGGTGAGATTAGCATTCTTCACTATATACCTGGCAAAAATGGTTACCTGCCTTGAATGAATAGAAACTCACAAGGCTGGAGAGAACAATAAATTCCTCTTCCTTAATCTACAGAGACCCAAACACAGCATAACTATGTAGTTTTACCCCTCATGAAACATAGCTGTCACGCCCATAACAAGCATAGATGTTAGACATACATGTGTGGAACAGGATATTTTCTTTGGCATCTGTCCCTTATGGGTGACCTAATTTAGTATCAACCCTCATTTTATGAACACAAAAATCAAATTGTGTAGTATAAAACTAAGACAGCTTCAGCACTGCCAATTAACAATAATGTATCAGGGTGTGCATGGGTCATTTCTGCAGCATAGTGTGCTGCATTACTGTTTCTGGTTTGGTTTCCCACCCCAGAATTTATACACAGCTTGTGCTGAATAATAGCGTAAATTGAGTCCCTATAAATGTGAGCAACAGCATCTGACCCATCTACCCCAGCTGGAATTGCTGTATTTCACAATATCAACATGCCACAGTCATTAAGGGCGTCATTATTTTGTGCATTGCTGAGAGAGGGAAAGAAAAAAACATTGCTGCCAACTGAACTGACAGAGTGCTTCAGAGGCGCAATGCTGTGGGGGGAAATGTACCTTTAGAATTATTGAAAATATGTTAAGACTGAGACTGTAGGCAAAAGGTTGGCTCAAGGCACATAATGGCATAATTTAACATCCCAGCTGTACTATCTGTCACCCTCTCTGTCCACGTGATTATACATACCACAAATAGGTACTCTAAAATGGGAGAAAAATTCTAAGTCTATTTGTTTGTTTCTGAATTTGTTTGTTTCTGAATTGAATTTCTACAATTCTATGGCACGCCAGGAAATATGGGGGGTATGAAAATGTTTCTCATAGGCTCCTTTACAAGCTTTTAGCTGTATATCAAGTTTCAATGATAGCCCATTGTCTCTGTAGGTCTATGCTAATATCACAACGCATTTATTGTAGTAAAACTCTGTAACTACCTAATTGTCCAGTAACAGGAAACCGTTGCCTACCGTGCAGCTATCTAAATCATGTTTATTAAGAGTTTGATGCCTGACCAGAGAATAAAGTACAGATAAAAAGTAAAAATGGTGCATCTGGGAAGCAATATGGAAAGTTCATAGGCGGGAAAAACTAGGAAGAAAGACACATTGGTAACACCAGTTGAGTAGTAGATTCATAAAAACTATTTTTGACTCTTTCATTTTCTAAATATAACAGTATTTTTAGTTGAGAAAAACAAGGATATTTGCCCAGAATTTGAGTTTTGACTATTTTTATTGCATTCATTTTCTCACTTCTTTTGAACCAGCTTCCTTTAAAGGGTTTGATTGTATGAAAACTCTGACTGAGTGTTATTCGTCCTTCTCCAGCTCAGGCAGCCATGTTTCCTTCCCAGAACCCACAATTCCACTTAGTCAAACGATCTTACCAGTGTCTCCCTGAGTCTAAGTTAAATTCCCACCTCTTGTTGGGATTTAAGGGTTGATTATGGGTCAGAAAGTCAAATGATAACTTTCTCGATTGAGCAAGAAGGAATTGCCCTTGTTTGTTTGTTTGTTTGTTTGTTTTTAATGTTAGACAGGGGTATGTTTGAGGACAAAGGGCGGGGAGATTGGCATGTTCTGTGGGGTCTTCCACATAGTCTAGGCTCACTAGTAAGTGCAGATGATCCCTGTACAGCTGCTCAGTGAAGACTGTAGGCACCACACAGTTCCACAGTGCTTCTCCCTGTTGGCCTTGGCCCCTATGTACAAAGCAAATCAATACTCTTCCAGGCAGGCCTCCGTAGTGTCTCTTGCTCAGTGACTGGCACCCGTGGCTGGAATCTGCCTCCCTTTTCCTTGTTTTGTCTGTTTACTCTCCTTGAGCACATTCCCAAATTATATTTACCATCTTCTGTGCTCTTTCATACTGTTGTCACTCCTATTGTCATTACCTATATTCTTCAGTATTTCCAATTTCCATGATACTGTTAGAAAATGTGGTGCTGGACCCTGCTGGGGAACACTATGCCCAGCTCTCACTCACTTGGCTACAGCAAATTTCACAAGCAGACTGACGATCAAGGCAAAAGGAGGAGCCAGCCTGAGTAAGACTGCTAAAATGGGCTGACGCATGCATGGTGGCTGGCTTGAGTTTGCCAGAGTTGGGGTGACTTTATTTCTACTTTCTTTGTGTCATATATCACAAGTCTTGCATCTACCACTGCATATATATTATCAAAGAAGTCATTTCTTTCCAGTATTTGTTCCAAATCCCATGTTGGTAATGCATGGTTAAAGTAGAAGTAGGATTTAGTCTTGTAGGTTTGTTACAACTTTGAAATTTTGAACTAATAAAATGCATTGTGCTGCACATAAAAGTAGAATCCAAGCTTTTTTTCTTTCAAGCAATGTGAGCATATTGGCAACAAATTGTAATTACCATGTAAATTAGCACATATCCTTGATCTTAAGTATTAACAATAATTTCAGAAAACTTATTTTTGAAGTTTGAAAAAAAAAAGAAGAACCTTTGTTCTTCCTTTCAATAAGGAACACACTTAAAATTTTTCTTTGGTTACCCTAATACCTATTGGATAGCCAATTGAGGAGAAAACAGGGTTTTAACACTAAGAAAATTAAAGATGTGGGTTAAAAACATCTCTCTCCAAATCATCCCAATAATTGTCAAAGTAAGCTACACATGATGGGAAAATACCATGATCATTTCCTGTTAGGCAGCTGGATGCCTGGAGCTGGGCCTCAGAAGTATAGAAAGCTCCTATACTCCAAGTGTAAATATCAGAAAGCCCTCTGCTCCAAAATTATTTTATACTTCTGAAGGTATGTAGTTGTTCTTCAGAATGGTGACCTAGAAGCACTGGGCAAGATTTCAACTTGGCATTTTATTCAGATTAGAAAAGGGCTTCAGAAGTTACCCACCAAAACTTCCTTACTTTGTAACTAAAGAAATCACAGCCCTTGGTAGGCAGAGGCAGGTGGATCTCAGAGACCAGCCTGGTCTACAAAGCAAGTTACAGGACAGCCAGAACTGTTAAACAGAGAGACCCTGTCTCAAAAAACAACAACAACAAAAAAGGGCAAAAAGAAATCACAGCTAGCTCAAACACAGTAGCACAAGTCTGTAATCCCAGGTATTCAGGAGGCTGATGCAGGAGAATTTCAAGCTTTAGGTTTAGCACGGGCTATTTAGTGAGGCCTTGTCTCAAAAGAGAAATGAAGTAACAGAGTGAAGGGAATATAGACTTCCAACAGCTTGTGTAAATCTAGAAAACCTCGTCTTGTCACTCCTAGAATTTTTCCCATTATATGCCAGAAAAAGAAAAGGTTATCTTCACACTTAAACAAACAAACAAAAAAAACCAACTTTTAGCTCATTTCCTACTAATATTAATACTTACAGGTTTTCCTTCCACACACATATCTGTATGAAGGACACATTTAATGCAAATTGGCTAATCCCTCAGAGGAAGTAGTTTACAACATTCCTTGTTAAAATTTAACACCCCTGTCCCAGAGAAGACCATTACCCTTGTGGTTTCATGTGGCCGATTCATGAACAGTATTCCAGTGTCAACAGGAGATGTGGTCATTTAAAAAAAAAAGAACAGATGTTTGAGATTTACATGAAAATCTCAAGTCAAGACTGATTCTGCCCATCAGCTCATCAAATGCCTTGCCAAAGCCTTCACACTTGCAGAGTGTGGCAAAGCAGATTTGGCCCGAATATTTCAACAACTGTGTGTACTTATGGGCAAAGGAAATAACCAAATGAACAAGTGAGCTTGCCACAAAGGATAAGCCTGAAGCATCCACTTTTTTTCTTTTTCAAATTCTTAAGTGATATTTTGCCCGTTAAAAATGATTTGAGCACTTTTACCGGATGACAAGGCATTAGAATTCTTCCTTTGAGGCACTTGGTTTACTTATACGCATTTTTCCTAATGTGCCCATGGTTTCTTAGATAACCGGACATTTTCTCCTCTCCTCTAATGTAATGTATCCACCTTCAGTCAATCCATACTTATTATAGCAGACCCAATGTGTGACTTAATGTATCATACAGACTGGTTCTGAAGACTTTAAACAAAAGCTCTAAGTCATTCTGTTATCACAATGCAAAACTGGAGTTAAAAGATGGGAACCAGGCTGGGGAAGGAGAGGAGAGGCAAGACAGCCTTTGCTCTGTGCTCAAGGTGTGCACCTTGCCCAGTGTAGCTGTCAAGTTTTGATCCTTATGTTTATAGAGTACTTGGATGGGTTCAGTTATAATTATCAAATACTACTTGCACATATATTGGTTACCATATCCACTGACTCTAAATGAAGCAGAAATCACATTCCCCAGGATAGATGCCCTTTGGTGAGCCCTGGCATATATTGTCTACTCTAAAACAACCATGTCCATTTCAAAATTCCCATTTTTAATAGGAAGGAAGGGATTGCTCATCCTTGTGCTCACATAGGCATCTCACCCGAAGCTTTACTGAAAAATTCCAGTGACCTGAATCCTATTCCCAACCATCAGTGTGAAGTGCAGAAGACTCCCATGCTTTGTTCACAGGGGTCCTATAAGGGGCACACATACGTGAAGCTGTTCTGTTCTTGTATTAAATGCAGATGCTTCATGTGCTAAACTGTGTAAGTGGTGTTTTACTGGTGCTTATTTCTGGTGTGTTCAATGCACTGTGATGTAGTCAGACTCGGAGTTCGTTTGCTGTTAGAATTAGGTTCTTATTATGGTTGTCCATGTCCACACTATTCAGCAAAGTGCCTTCTAAGTTGTGTTTGTGTGTTCCACTGTACTGCCAAGAGGATTAGTTGTGAGCTCCTGAAAAATATAAACATGTCCATTTCCTTTCATCAGACTAAAAGGTAATTCTGTACACTAAAGCCAGTTCGTTAATTATTCCAAGGATTTTTGAGATGCTGACCTGCCTTTGAAATGAATCCTAAACTTTAGAGTAGAACAAAAGAAAACCATGAAAGAATCAATAACTTTCATCCCAGACTTCACAAGGTAATATATATGTGGTGGTAGACTGGTCTTGGATGTAATGGGTCTGCCTCTAAGGAGGAGGAAATCCATGTATCATTTTTATGAAGCCCATTAAATATTTCAGTTCACTAACCTACTTAAGTAGTGGTCTTATATTATGAAAAGTTAATGGCATAACTCTGAGCCATTTATTTCCTTCTTAACTGATGTGGTCCAGTGCATGGTAAAGTCTGAGCTAAGAGCATCTCGGAATGTTGTTGTCTCAAGTTGTCCCCTGTATTTGTTTGTAACACCCACTTATTAATTTGCAGTTACAATTGCCGTTTTTATTACTTTAAGGCACTCAACCAGAATGCTGAGCTCAGGAGTCGGCTGAACAGAATACACTCAGAGTCTATCATTTGTGATCAGGTTGTCAGTGTAAATATTATCCCTAGCCCTGATGAGGTAAGGCTCATAAATGGATATAGAACACCCATTTTATGTCATCTAAATTACTGCATATTTTTGCTTATTTCAAATAGTTGTTTTCCATTAACAATATCCTCTGCATAAATATTTGTGTTGCAGACAGCTCAGTATTCTCTGAAGTAAAAGATGTATGTGAACTTGACATCGTGCATTCTTGGTGCTGTCTCTATTTATTTCTATATTCACCTGATGTCACCAAATATTCAATGTATATATTTTGTTCAGCTTGTTTATTTTCTGTATCTGTTTTATTCTTTTTAAAAAAAAAAACATGTTCATTATCACCAAATGTCTAATGAAATGCTGAAAAACTTTAGCTGACAAATTTTTAAATAAAAATTGCTTAAATGTTTCTTTGGAAGAAGTCATCTAGGGAGAGAAGCTACCTGTTCTTGCTAAAGCAAAACTAATTGTGCTGCTAGAGCCCTTCATGATGACTCAGACAATCAAAAGCCAGCAAGGACTGGAAGTGTGTTTGCCTAGCATGTGGAGGCCCTGGGTATAGCTAGCACTGTGTCCTGGGTACTGCTCTAACCAGTTCCCATTGTGCTTCACATGTTATTTTCAATAACCTCCATAGTACATGCTATTATTCTATCTTTTTAATATTGAAGAAATGGCATGAAAATAGAAAATCATTCAGAACATAGGCTAAAATATGTGCAAGCTTTTGTAAAGTTCTGTTTTATTAATCATGAGAAATTGAAGCTTTGTATATGGCAATGCATCTAACAAAATGAGAGCTTAAACTAATACTAAGGTCATATTTGCACCAAAGCCATATATTTTAGTATAAATGTTACCATAAATCAGACTTAAGCATTTCTGCTTGAAATATCCCAAGGCATCCTACCTTTGACTTAAGTTGCCCACTGTTTCCATTCATCTTTAGGGTCCCTCTGAACTCTGATCACAATTGCATCCACTCAATTGCTCAGAATCTCGGGATATTTCCAAGATGTATCACTGAGAAAATATTTAGATCCAGCAAGGTGACTCAGCGAGTCAAGGCACTTGCCACTGAGTCTTACGACCTGAGTTCAGTCCCCGGGGAACCACATAGTGGCAGAGAAAACAGACTGCTGCACGTTGTTCTGTGAACCACCCCCTATACACATGTGTGTCTGTACCCCCTTGTGTGCACCCAATAAATAAATGTGATTTTAAAATTGCTTAATAATCCCTAACTGGATTCTTCAACCTGAAGCGTGAATTAGAAAATATATTATATTCTTTAAATTCTTTCTAAATAAATTTATCTTCCTTGAAAGCAGTTGTTTGAACCTTTGCACATATGAACACTATTTTACTTGAAATGACATTCAGTGGTCTAGACATGTTTAATTGATTTAAAATCCATGATTTAATTGGAAATTGAATTATATACATCCTATTTCAGAAATTGATCTTATAATTTAGTTGTCTCAAGCTTAGTTGTCTCAAGAAGTTTCTGTAAATATTTCTTGAGGTTTAATTTACTTCTTAAACCAGTGGTTCTCAACCTGAGGGTTGTGAGCCATTGGGGGGGGCATTTGCTTATCAGATACTTACATTACAATTCATAACAGCAAAATTACAGTTATGAAGTAACAATGAAAATAATGTTATGGTGGGGGGGGTGGTCACCACAACATGAGGAACTGTATTAAAGGGTTGCAGCATTAGGAAGGTTGAGAACCACTGGCTTAGACTATGACTAGTAATGACAAGCCTAAGACCACAGTCAGTTCACGCTTTTAATAGAGGTTTCACCTGTTGAATTCCATTCGCTACCAACAGATCATAGACTTGAAATCAGGTTGTAATGTCACCATCTTTTAACTCTGCCTCTGAATGTCTCTAGACACAGTAGATGGAATCATATATGGTAACAAGTGAAACTCAGTCACTAGTGTTAACAGTTTGGAATTCTCTAGAAATCTAATTTGGAGGACTAGCAGTGCTCATAGGAGGGAAAACATGATTCTGTCATATGCTTCTCTCTCTTTAGGCTAGTGAGCAAATCCATGTCAACCTCCCTCTGTCACAGCAGGTGGCCAATGAGAGCCGCCTCTCCATGTCAGAATCTGTATCAGAGTTCTTCGATGCGCAAGAGGTGCTCCTGTCTGCAAGCTCATCAGAGAATGAGGTAAGGGTGTGTCCTGGGTGTGGCCATCTCATCTGCGTGCAGCTGTGAGATTGGCTAAAGACTGTTAGCCTCTGGGACTTTGTGTTGTTGAGTGTTAATGTCACAGAAAGATGTTCACATTACAACAGAGCCTACATGTAAGCCACCATGGTGCTTCCCGTTTCCTGAGCACTCGATCACTTCACAGTGCTTCTGGGCTGCAACTCGGGGGTTCTTAACTTGGATGGATAAAGGGAAATGATCAAACATTTATATATGTGACCGAGTAACCAAACCATTGGTTACAGAGTCCATCGCAGAGACCATTTGGTTATACAGAAAGGACGGGAGAATTAGAAACCATTTCTATTGGGCAACTTAATATTTCCACAAGGCAAATCTGATGATGTCCCAGTCCCCCTTATTAAGATAACAATTTAGCTGTGACATAATAATGTTAATGATCTGATCTCTGTACTCAAGGGCAGCCTCATGTTCCTTTTTGTTCTAGATCCTCCCAACAGCCAAAGGAGTGATTCCTGGAGTTATCAGTTTGCTAAAGACGCCGTATTCTCCCTTGTAACAAAGAGACTGTAATCTTTTGTATGACCCACACTGGGGAGAAATGGACTGCATACCTAACCTATGCCTTGTGTTTTAGAGGTTTTCAAAAATAGTGGCTTTTACTCATGTCTTCCTCCTGTACCACAATACTCAGGAGTTAGCCAGGAAATAAGCTCAAATGACAGTCACCATGGTGTTCTCAGGGTTTTCCCTCCTCTTTAGTTAAGATGTGGCTTCTAGGTGAATCTAATCTGATCCAGTTTCCTCATGATGAGAACCCTGAAGTAGGCTCCTGAAACCTTTACACTGCCAGGCTCGACAAGCCCACCCAGCGAGTCAAGCATTGGTGTGTGAATTCCAATAACAGCTGCAGGGTCCATGAAAGTTGTGTGTTCTATACCCTAGCTGCCAGTGGAGAAAGGTTCCCTGTATTTGTTGTCCATGCTGGCTGGAGCATTTCTCCCAGAGGGATTTATGTTATCTTCTCCCCATGTCCATTCAAATTCCTGTCTCAGAAGCCAACTTCAGGGAAGCCTATGATAGCTGACCCAACTGTAGTGTAGTGTTGCTGTTTCCTTCTCCCAGCTCCCCAGCCTTTGGTATGCCTTGTTTATTTCTCCCTCCCAGTTTTCACTCCCCAACACAATGTGTTGTTTTTCATGTGCTTCTACCTCTAGCACACAAGTGCCACAAAAGTAGAGACTTTGCCCTTTGTCTAGTGACAAAGTGAATAGTGAATTCAGAACTGGCCCTCAATAAGTATTTACTAATGTAATGAAGGAAAGAGTCTTTTCAGGCCATTCACCCACTATTCTTCTGAGAGGTGCCCACATGAAAATTTCCCTGACTAGCAATGTGCTATCTACCCATACCTTTACCTAATGAGCCCTCAGCTCCTTTAAAGAAGATGGCCTGCTAAAAGCTGCATCATTGGTTTTTAAAGGTGGCCTACTTCTGTCCAGGATGATTGACCAGCCTGGTGTCTGCTTGAGAATTTGTATTTGTCACATTTAGAAAAGTCACATTTAGAAAATAGTTACTGAACTATTTTGGACCCTGAAGTTCAAAACAAAAATATTGGGCTCCAGCACTTTTTGGCTCACAGTGAAGAACCTTGATAACACGGCAGGTTCTTGGCCTATGCATAGGACCATGAGAGAGGACCACAGCAATAGCCTAACCCCAGTTACTGCACACGGCCTTATGACATGCACACCTCTGGCCCATGTCCACTATCACCTTGGAATTCTACACCATCAGTATTGTAATGTTTATGGCACAGATTGGGAGAGGTCAGAAACCAAGGAGGAATGGCAATCTTAAACATGGCTGTTTCCTTAACAAATGCTAGTGGTAAGCATGCTTGAGTGGTACATTGACTTCAGGTTGACATTTGCCTCCTCATCTGTAATCAATGAGATCGGCTTCTACTAGAGAAATTGGGTGGAAGAGATTGACTTACCCTTTTTCCCTACAAGCTGAAGAACTCAGCTTTACTGAGCCTGAGGGTATCTCTTCCAGCTCTCTTTCAATCAGTGAGAACTGCAGAGACCAAGTACAGAGGGAGAATATAAATAAAAAAATATTCTTCATTTTCCATGTCTATAGACTTCACGCGCAAAACAAAGCTCCTATTACTGTAACCCCTGTATGTAGTCCTTCTGACAGGGTTTATCACTAGTTGTGGTGGTGGTTCAACCAGGAGACTTGAAGACTCTATGTTGAACTGCAGTTTTACTGTGCTGCATCTAACTTTGGCCAGAGATTTCCTTTGGAAGCTTTGGGTTGGATGGAACACTTGAAGACACCCAGAGACCCCACCCATTGTGTGTCCCTATGGGGTGGAGATATGGAGAGAAAGAGAAGCAGAACAGCCTGCACACTATGAAGATAGGTAAATCTGGAGACTCAAGGGTAGAGAGGAACAGTCTAATGTGAGTTACTTGCAAGCCACCCGAGACAATGGTGAAGTCCTGGCCCATGCTGTGTCTGGGTCCATGACCATGAAGCAACAGGGGTCTGTGTTGATGTCCATGGTCCATGTGGATGCCCCTGGCTTGGACTGCTTGCTGCCTGGGACCACATTGATATCCCGTGACTGCATAGAGTTGGCCCCTCCCCTTGCTGCCTTCAATAATGGGTGAACTAACGAGGGCATTGCTAGAGATCTTGCCCTGGTGGTAAGGATGCAGGAGAGCTGACAGGCTGACTAACTCAGCCTGGTCCAGATCCAAGGCTATGAGTTAGCCCACCCCAACATCCACCCCATCTGTGAACTACTAGAGCACATGAAGGGGCCAGTCCTGCAGATCCAAAGCTGCAGGATCTCCATGACACAGAGCAACAGCAGGATATTTAAGAGGAGTCCCATTGTAGTAGAAGCCAGAGGCCTCAAACCAGACCAATGACTCTGCCATGAACATTTTCAAATAAAGATGTATGGACTAAAGGGTATGTGATTCACTGTCACACACTACAGATTTTTTTTTCAATTTTATTTTGGGGGCGTTGCAAGGGTAGAGGGTGGGTACAAAAGGAATGGCGGGATTAGTGGAATTAGGATATAGGATGTGAAACCCATAAAGAATCAATAAAATTAAGAGAAAAAATTTGAAAGACTCATCCATTACAGGTATCACTACTCGCTGCCTTTGGGTCTTGTACTGTTTAAGTGTAAGGGTGCAACTGTGTCCCGCGCGATAGTCTTGCCGGCAAGAACCACACAGGACATTCGGATCCTTCTGCAGTAAAGCTTTTAATGCGTCTTGAGAGGAGAGCATAAGCTTACAAAAGCGGAGACCCCGAGCCAAGAATCCCGTCCCCTAATAAAGGCTGGCAGCCGCCGCCTGGGACGTGTCACCCTATGATTGGCTGTAGCTCATCAGGCCATATGACGCCACGGAATAGGCAGAGATCAAGGAATGGAAAATTAACCAGCGCCTGCGCAATAATCTTGTTTACATTCAGTGCCTGCCGGATGCAGGCACCATCTTGTAATGGAGAATGCAGGGACGGCTCCCTACACAACTGAACTCAAGCAAGCATGTGGTCATTTATTCTCTCTGCTCCTGACTGGGAAAGCAACTAGCAGCTTCAAGTTCCTACCTTGACTTTTCTGCAATGATGGACTATAACCTGGAATTGTATGCCAAAGAAACCCTTTCTTTCTTCCTTAAATTAACAAAAAAAAGTTGCAAACTAAGAAAAATGCAGTCTCTGATGACAGACAACTGTTGAAAGATAAACAGTTTTGTTTGTTTGTTTGTTTGTTTGTTTGTTTTGTTTTGATTTTTTCGAGACAGGGTTTCTCTGTGGCTTTGGAGGCTGAACTGGAAATA